CCCCAAAACCCCAAAACCCCAAAACCCCAAAACCCCAAAACCCCTGAATTTTGTATATCATTGAAGCATATTTAATTTGATTTATCAATAATTAATTATTAAATAAGCGGGAAATGGAGAAGCCTAGTTATCTTACTAAGAATGGAATGAAGAGGATCATTGAGTCAGAACGGAAAGAGTTCAGAGACATGCCATTTGTCTTCCAAGTTGTCGCTATTAAGCAATTTGATGGTAGTGGCAAAAAGATCAGACAAAGACTCTCCCTCTCAGATGGTATCTCTATTGTCCCTTCCATTGTTAATATTGATGTTTTTGAGGAGACTAAAGATCTGGGGATGAAGGAAAACTCTGTGATTACTATTAAGAATTTCAAGGTGAGCAAGGTAAAAGGCAAAAGTGTCATCATGCTACAGGAACCCTTTACTGTGGAAGGAAATTGCTCTCAGTTGGGGAATCCGAAAGGTTACGAAAAGTTAAAACCCACTGATTTCACTCAAAATCTTAATCTTTGTTTTAAGAACAATGAAGAGAACCTAAGCCAGAACATGAGCAGCTCTAAGAAGTCGGTAGAGGAGAAGAAGTCTGCTCAAGAGGAAACTAAAGGAGGTAAGGAAGAAAGAAAGTTTGGAATCGACACTTTGTTTGAGAAAAGAAAATATCAGGATAAAGGATTTGTTGCTATACAAAATTCTGAGGCTATCGCTGATGAGCACTCAGACTATACTCCTATTGCAGCTCTGAATTCAATGAACCCAGACTGGATTATTAAGGCTAGAGTCATCAAGAAATGTGCCCCAAGACATTGGAAGAGCTTCAGAGGAGAAGGAGACTTGATGAATATAGAGTTAAAAGACGAATATGGAACCTGAATTCAGGGAACTTTCTTTAATAAGCTTATTGAAGATTACAAGGACCAGTTCCATGAGGGTAAAGTTTATAGCTTTAGACATGGAAATGTCAAATCTGCCAATCCAAAATTCTCGTCAATCAAACATCCTTATGCCATAACTTTCAACAGCCACACAGTGATTACACCATTAGAGGACGATGGATCTATCGAGATGGATAATTATTCGTATTCTACTTTGAATGAGATCTCCTCTCTAGAAGCTAATAAGATTGTTGATACTAAAGGAGTCGTTATCGAGATCCAAGAGATGGATGAGATCACAATGAAGAGCGGCATGACCAAGCCTCTGAGAAGAGTCATCATTGCTGATAACTCAAGAGAATATGGACTTTCTATTCAAATCACTTTCTGGGGAGAAATTGCTTATAAAGCTAATTTTGTTAAAGGAGAAGTCATTGCTCTGAAAGATGCTAAAGTTGGTAAATATAATGGTATCTCACTAAATATGAGTAATGAGTGTGAAGTCAAGAGGCTCAAGGACGAAAAGAAGCTCAGATCATGGTTTGCCTCTCTTGATGGAATCAAGGGAATTCATAGACTATCAGAGCAACATAAGAAAAAGTTTGGACAAAATGAAGCAGGTCTTAAGCCTCAACTAGTTTCTGATATACAAGAAAAAGTCTATCAAGATATTGAAAACGAAACAAATCCTAATTATGTAATAGAAGGAATGCTCACATTCATTGCGAAGTCTGATAATATGGTATATATGGCTTGTCCAGATGACAAAAAGAAACTACACAAAGATCCAATTAAAAATGAATTTTATTGCGGAAGATGCAATACTGTTTATACAGAGCCTGTTCCTACCTTTATGGTAACAGCAAAGCTATCTGACCCATCTGGCCCAATTTTTGTATCCTTTTATGCAGAGCAAGCAGAACAACTGTTTGGAGGATTCACAGCAGAAGAGTTTAATCATATTCAGATCCATGGTACTTTTCATGAAGTGAAGGCAAAGATTGAAGAATTTTTGTACAAACCCGTCAGAGTCTGAGTCAGAGCAAAGCAGAATGATTACGGAAGCAGCATGAATGATGTTAAATATTTCGGACAGAAGGTACATCAGTACAACGTGAATGCTCACAACTTAAATCTACTGAATACTCTAAAGGGATATCAAGAAGGAATGGGAGAATAATTGACATAAAAGCTCAAATACTTAATTTCTATGTATTGCTAATTACTCCAAAAATCCCTATATTTTCCACTTGGAAGTATCATCCATATTTTCCTTTCAATTAAATTTTGTGTTGCCGGGGTTTTGGGGTTTTGGGGTTTTGGGGTTTTGGGGTTTTGGGG